AGTGCATAACGATGCGCGCGCGAGGTAGTAAAACGGAGGTGACTATATTATAAATATATACATGTAGCTAATGCGACATAAGTTTACGGAAAACATTTCGATTAGACGTTCGTATTAAATGTTAACTGGTATTCATCAGATGACTACGTAATTTTGTCCAACTTTAGAATTAATGAAATCAATACGGCGATACGATTTCAACATCGAGTGTACACTTGTTACTGCGTATACATAATGTGTATCGGAAATGCAGACGTTGTAACGATGCATTTTATCAATGCGATACCGACGTAACGGATTTATTTTTTATCTACTAACCAACTACAACTAGAAAACGGAGCCTTGCGTATGATTTTACGTCGTTTTATCGATTTTTTCATGTCGTTGACTAGAGGCCGAGAAAAAAATCACGTCCGAACGCGTCGGCCCGTGCGTAAATCCGCAAGAACGGACGGGGAAAGGAATATCATTCCATCTTCTATGTACGTATCGTATATTTAAATACACGTGTAATCCGATGGTTTTCGATCTACATCAGATCTGATTGAAAACTTTGAACTGCGGATAAAGTCGGGGCTGCGTGACGGCGTTCAAAGTAATAATACGAGCGAGACACGTTCCACAATAATGTATGGGGAGGGGGGGGAGCACTGCAATGTGTAATAATAACTCTAGCGTCAAAATCCAACGCGAATATATAATAACGACGATAATATCGCAGTGTACGCGTAATATTTATGCGTAGTATGTCGTCGATTTCACGTGTGAGTGTTTTTTTTTTTCTTTTTTAACGCCTCTTTCTCCATCTCTCTGTCTCACTATCTCTCCTCTCGTTGCTCCCGTGTAACCCACGACGTCGTACCTCCTCTCATTACCACCGGTTATGAACAGCGTAATACCTTCGCCACGTACGTGTTAGCGGCTTCATAACCTCGAGGGTGTTGTTGAACGATAGCACACACACACACACACACACGCACAGACGACGTTTACTTGCACACGCGTGCACAACGACCAAACGGGTTATGCGCAGCCTTGGCATTTGCGGCGGTGAAGAACGCGCGTCGACGTTTTCGTCGATCCCTAATTATTCGCAACATTGATTCGTCGACGTCTTGAAAATCCTCGAACGTTCCCATCGCAATCATCGTCTCCGGCCATCATCGACGTTATCCGTTTATTCGTTTGAATCCGTTTTTCCCACGCGAATCGGCAGACGGACGGATTTCGCGTCGGTACGAAAAAACGGGTCCCCGGCGCACCATCTTCACCGAACACTACGTTTGTTTATGCGTACGTATATTTTGGAAAAAAAAACCATAATCGTGTCGAAAATGCGTTTACGTAACAAGTCGCTCGATTCAATAAACACTGTGTAATGCACGTGCAAACTACTGCTACTGCGACTCGTTACGAAACGTAATTGTACGTATGAAAAAAATTAATCGTATTTCTTTTAGATTGACTTTTATAATTAATAACCCGGTACAACGATAATAATGATACATCGGATAACAGATGGATAAGTAAAAACCGCATAAACCGGATTCGTGCACAGCGTGCACCAGTTAGGTACCGCGGTTGTAATACTAAATGTTGACCACTGCAGCGTCCGCCGAACGGTGGACGGTTTCGAATTCTTAACAAAAACCAAAGTTTTCCACGGTTACGACTTAGGCAGCTTACGAGCCGAACGTACTTTTTACTGTCAGTCGTGTAAGTTGTGAATCTGTCACACGGTTTGATTCTGGTCCCTAGTATACAGTTGTACATAGTCCCTGTCAAACATGACCTTCAGCGAATTTACTCGTATAAATCGCGTAATCTCATCCGTACGTTTAAACACTTCATGTCGGACCAGCCACGATTACAGCGCATGTATATATTATATCATGGTACAGCTGACGTACGAGTTAATATTCATTATGAACCATGTTCGATTTATTTCATAATATCGCATAATCCGAATTTTATTTCATATTCGCGGTTTTCACTACATCATGTTAGATCGTAAAAACAATAATAATACAATTAACAACAACTGACGAATACGCGCAGAATTATTATCTCGCTGGATAAAAGCGCTGAAGCTGGACGACGACAAAGCACTCGGCTACACTCTATTAGAGCGTACAGCCTACACACAACGTATACGTACAATGAGTAGCTCGAGCAACGACGTAAAAACGAAATAATGATTCGCATGTAATTTTATCGTATCTCTATGCAAACTATGTTAATCTTATCTATATTATATATGTTCGCCATAACGTGTAGCAGGGCAAAATTAAATAATAGAATAATATTGAAAAAAAAAACCGATTTCGTATCACTACTATATCACATTGCTAGCTGAAATGTATGAGATAAATGGAATGTATACATAAAGCGTTTACTAGGATTCAATAGTTAGTGGGCTTGGCTTTTGGTCTGTATAAATATCAATAACAATAAATCATACAGATCTTTCTCGGCGCGGTGAATAGGAAAACATACGTATAATATATATATGTATATATACATCTGAGTACTAGTATTTGCTTCGATCATTGTAAAACTATATAATGATTATTATTATTATTATTTTTTTTTTTTTTTTATTATTATTATTCTTGTTAGACACCGTATAGGATGTGTATTACGATCACTAATAAAATCTGAATCGTTCGTCCGCGGAAACGAGTACAATAAAAACAAACACGACTTGTTAGCAGCGAACGTACAAATAAAAAATTAAAAAAAAAGATGCACTCTTAATGTTTCCATCGGTATTTTATATTAGGCGATAATCGTTTAATTTATACAGTTTGATAAAATATTTACTGCACGCTGTGTCATTGTCCGTTAACTATCATGAGCAAAAAAAAAAAAAAAATGTTATTACAACAGCTCCGAGCCGATGAGCTATAAATATTATACCGGTAAAAAGCGTATAAAACGCGATGGTGACTTAATTAATTAAAAACGAACACGCGATTATCTCTACTTGTTATTAATGGCGTATTGGTTAACGTCAAACGACTACGATTGTATGATATTACGGTTTCGACCGAAAACCTCATCGAGATGGCAGTGATTAAATTTACATGTGTCGCGTTCGGATAACCGATCTCCTTCGGACAAAAAATATTTCGCATCTGCTACGATTAAAACGCATGTAACCGATTTGATTTCGCGATGAACACCGGGATGATGCGGATTAAGAAGTGGTAAAAGTAAGCAACGTAAACGTGTTGATTTTGAAACCGTACGTTTGGAAACAAACGTTCGGGGAACAATGCTCGTACTCGTAAAAACGATTCGAGCCGTGGAACGCGTGAGAGATCAAGTCGTCAGGGACTAAAATTGTGTGCAGTTCGAGACACTTTGTGTAATACGAAATGCACAAGTGTGTAATGCGAAATTAAAAAGTGTGTTACGGTTTTATCATCCATATAATAGTATTTGTTTTTGATTTTACATTTTTTTTTATTAAATAATTTTACATATTTTTAAAATTTCTATATGTATCATCAGCAAAATCTAACTATTTTAATTGTGTTACTCCTCGTTACTGTTAACGTTTGAAAGGCGATTATGACAAAATCCTTAAGTGTGCAGTGCGAAAAAGTATATATTTTAGGCTCTGCAAGTCGTGTTTTCGTGACGGAAATATCTGCGAATCGACGTTTACGGACGAAATGCAACGGTGTGTACAATATGCGCCGCGGCTGCAGGAATCCGGAAAATAAAAACCCGATTTCATCCGATCGTATCGCACGATGAATTCGAACACCGTAAAATGTGTGTACATAAAATCGTTCCGGGCACGAGCACGTGTACACCACTCGCAACGGTGAGCCGGGAGTGCAGAGGCGGTACATCGCGACGTCGAGTGAAACGTTCCGTAGGCACCGAACGATATTAAATGTTATGCGATCCGATGCCAATTCCCGCTGTCGGAAATCTCCGTTTTCCGTAGATCGCGGTCCAGTGTTTACCGCTCGCGTAAAGTGTTGTTTACATTACAATTGTACTTTTTCCAATCGTTTCGACGGTACTAAAATTGGAACGATACAACGGACGTGCGCGGACACGATGGGCGAGTCGTACGCGTTCGCTGAGTCTATACGCGTGCTATAGCGTTTGTTGCGCGTACCGAAAAAAACTTTGTACGTTCGCGCGACGGGTACCACAGGGTTACGGGGCGCGTTCGGTAATCGGAGTTTAGATACTTATTCCCCCGGCGTGTTCTCCTCGTGCGCCGTCCGGGTGACACGAGTGGCGGCGGGAAGACTGGTGAAAAGAGAACGCGGAGCTCGGCGACGACGGTTCGGAAAAATCGGTTTCTCGATCAGAAACGTTCTAGTACGAGGAAATCGGAAACGAACGAAAACCTCGAAATCCACGAAACTGAGAAACTGGGAAAAACGGATTAACCTTAAACGGATCGTGTCGTATGCGATCGCGTTAAAACGATTGTTGTTGTTAACGCGTCGACGTCGAATGTTCGGCGTCCATCGCTGTGCGCGTGCCCGGGAAAGCTGACGAGAATGCGTTCGACGTACACCGGATTCAAAGTGCAACGATGATCGACAGTTTAGGCGTGAATCGTGTGCAACGGGCGAACGAACCGAACGCGCGCGCGCGCAGCATAAACTTAGTGGCCCGGGTGGGCAAACGGTGGCGGATTTCGGACGGGTTATCGCGGTGCACGCACGTATGTATATGCGCGACCGGTGCTTTGGGCAAGGTAGCGTAACCCAGTTTTAATAGGCGGAACTTTCACTCGGCTCGCCGACCGAATGAATTATTACCGATCGCTACACCGTCGTTATTAAATTACAATACGCTTATCGAACGTAAACCACGCGTTTTACGCGCGTAACCTATCGCCCCGACCGTTGTCGGGTGTACGTCGTCCGACTACACCGTTAGCACGGAGCGCAAGCGCAACAACCGTTGTTGATGTCTGTCGACGGCGTTGCGCGTGTTATACTATTTACATTGCGGGTACTCACTTTGCACAGGCAAGTGTAACACATCATGTTCTTGATGGTGACCACGTTCACGATCTCTCCTTCGTTCACGCAGCTTTCGGGGTAACCTGCAACACACACACACACACCAACGTGTTAGTATTCATACGATTCCCGTCGATTGTAATCCGAATGATCACCGATGTACCAAGGTTGCGCGCGCAACGCTTGTTGATCGCGTTCGACGCGATCGACTCTCGGCAGTAATGTTTTTCCACTTTATTTTTAGGCGCGATTTCGAACAAAAAAAAAAAAAACATCCGTAACCCAATAACGTCGTTATCGCTCGCGGTCTTTGGTCACGAACCGTCGTATTGATCTCGTGCACGTAACGTATTAATGTAAAACCGTGCGCGCACGAGGAAATGATGCCGACGTAACACATCGTTGTGACACGTGCGACCGATGCGACTGAGACGGTCCGAAGATTGCATGGTCTAACGATGTACGAAAACGATCATCTACGACGACGACGACACGTTGTGTAATACATTACTGTTATCGTTGTAAACTTTGTAACCTAATGATTATTCTACGCTGACGTCTACACCGACAGTTTTCAGGCCGACTGATTACACGCGCGTCGAGTCTTATTGAGCGAGATTTATTAAATGCGCTAATTTCGCGTCGGGGAGACGTGCGCCCGCCGATACAATACGCGCACGCAGTTCGTTATCTGTTTGGCGTACGATCGTCTACACCTGATACGTTTCGTTTTCTAATCGAGCTTTACGCTGCCCAAGTACGTCACGGCGCAGACAACGACGACGTTCAAATCGATTTATAACTCGTCTCGTCCGGCCACGGTCGGGATTCGAATTCCGACTGCGTAACGGAAAAAGTCACTTTTTTGTTTTATAAAAATTCTGCGTCCACTTAATTTACGGTTTATGAAATCAACGCGTGACACGCTTGATTTTTCAGCCTGCACCTTTTCGGACATTACAAACATATTCACTCCATATTATCATGTTTCAACCGACATCGATTTTTTTATTGTTACTTCTAGTGTGTAAAGAAACGTTTTACAATTTTGAGACCGGTCAATGAAGCATTCCACGTATTACACATATCAATTACGATGAAAGTTTTTTAATTTCTGATCAACGTCTAATGGATATAAAATGTTTATTATATAAACCCCTTAGAAATCGTTTTGTGAATAATAATTAAATTTCAACCAACATTAAGATATATATATATATATATATATATATATATATATATATACATACATACAGAATGCAACAGGTAACGTTCTCGGTTGGTAACAAATTACATGCTTATTGGCAGTGACTTTCTAGTTATGTTTTTGAAAAACTACCTTTAAGCTTGAGTTCATCTTTGTGTCCACTACGCGGATGTGGCACTCTCGAAGTATTGAAAATGGGACCCTAGAATGAAAGTCCAAGAATAAGCGGCACGTATTTCAACCGATATCGTTCAAATTAAATTAAATGTTCTAAATGCTCGTGGAAAAACTTACTATGCCAATATCACTTTTACGATAATACAACAGTTACAATCTACGGCAAAAGTACAGATCATAAACAATCGAAGCTGCCCGAGAAAAATATACGAGATTCCAGGAAAACGTAAACACGTTGGACAATAAGTGATACTAATATACCGCGATATTAAATAGGAAAATTGAAATTGTGTTTATCCAATAGCGTTGTACATTTTAGTCTATTAAATACACATACACCGTATTGTTAAGATAAGGACCAAATGTACTGCGAGCACCCCTTGAAATATACAGGACTGTATACAATGTCCGCAAAACGGATACGTGTTACTGGTGCGCGATACTGTACTCGCGCGACTACTCGCCGTACAGCCGTGTCAATTGGAAACGTAGATTCATCACGATAAATTTCCTGGCACCGGTCTCTGGCGGGCCTCTGTTCAGTGTACGTCCGCCCCGATAATCTGCGAACGGTCTTTTCTGTTTTCCTTCTCCGATTTTTTTTTTTCATTTTATTTTATTTTTTTTATTCCTCTCGCGCGGACTGACGTATTACTGTTGTTTACGTACCACGGACACAGTTTTCCTCCTATCCTTCATCATTTTTTCTTGGCTAGACCTTGGCCGATACTACGCGTACACTCGCACGCTATACGTACACATTTACGCGCGCACATTGTAACGATATTGTACAGTTTACGTTATACCGCGTGCAGAGCGCTTGGCAATGCGATCATCGCGTAATGTATATCATACATGACAATTGAGTGTTTCTCAACCTGGGGGGAGGCGCCTGGACGCGCTGTTGGATAGAGAATAGGAGCAATGAGTAGTCATCGCGGAGCACATAAACCATTACTATCAGTGCGAAAAAAAAAACAAATCAACAATCGTATCGTACATTGATTGTAATGTTGTACACCAGAAGCGGCTTGCAAACATCTAGCACTGAGGTGTTGCACTGATAAAACCAATTTTTTTGGATGCATTTCGGTTAAATAAATTGAAATTTACCAAGTATACCGGTACACTTATGAACATAGTTGTATACGCGGTTAGTGGTTTTAACGTTGAAGCAGTTGTAATATAAACCGAGCGAAGTCGGAACGATTTTTTCGGGCTAGGTGGGCGGTTTAAAATGATCTGGCCCCGGTAAGATATAAACGTTCGTCCCTGTTTTAGTACGCCTACACCTAACCCGAGGACACGGACGAGTAGCGTCGCCGGTCCCCGTCCGGGATTACAACTTCAGACGACGCGCAGAGACTTTATCGAATGCCGAAATTATATCCCGTCAGTGCCGAGAAAACTTAACAGGGTGCATTGCGTACATTGGGCCTCGAACTATGTATTATGGGACACCAAAAGGTCAAATGCTTAAAAACGTTCGATGATCAGTGGTTTGGATTCGCACGCGGGCCTCGAGTTACGGCACCGGATCCCGTGCACGCGACAATACGTATACGCAGAGGCGGACCTGGGAATTTTTACGCCTGAAGAAAATTTTAAAACCACCGCTTTATCATGAACCGAAATACTCTTCTCGAATATTTTTTTCTAATAATTAATAGGCTTATTGAGTTTTAACCAAATAACAGTATTTAACAAAATTAAAAATATCAAAGTATTTGTTAATAATCACAAAAATTACACTCTCAAAAATTTTAAGCCCGGGGATGAATCCCCGTCCTTCACCCCTAAGTTTCACCTCTATGTATCATTCACACGTTTTTTTTTTTTTGCATAACAATTTCGAAACACCTGTTCGTCCGTCAAACGCCGTATCACAATACGATATAATCGACAATAATTATCGTTGTTTTGCGTTCACGTGCATCGGCCGACACAACAATAATATATAATAAATCGATGCTGCATTATAATGCACATTATTGTACGTTACGTTACGTAATTTACGTTCGCATATACGGGTATGGATCTCGGCGATCATTTCAACATTCGTCCGAAAACGTAACTTATTTATTCATTTATTGCATTTATCGTTGCGGTGTCGTACGCGCGACATCGATCGCGACCATATACGGTGAAAAAAAGCCAATAATTATCATATTCATAGCATATATTATACTATGATTATACCGCGCATAAGTTACACGAGCGTCTTTTACCGTATACATGGTAGGTACGTACGTTTATGTAGACAGGTAGCTCATAAAAATCTATGTATATTCACTATTGACTCGCAGCAATTGATTAAACGTAATAAATAAACTACAGGTATTCAATTTTAACGGAATATGCATTTATAACGAAACCGTCCGCCCGGGCAGTTGCACGTTATTACTTTCAAATTATTTTACTGCACCGGAGGTCTTACCACCGGGCGGACAGTATTTATTACATTCTATTTCGTTTTTTAGCCCTCAGCAATGTCATTGCCGAGTAAACATTTTCGAAATGAACGTTCGTCGCGTGCTCTGGCGCTCAGCCAGTACCGCGTGCGTAATAATAAGATTGATACGAATGAGACGCGCGCGCGGTACAATTATCAATAGTTGTATCGGATTCGAAAGCCGATGACGTGCTGTGTTCTCGATCAGAACACCGTTTTCCTATGGTGATCGTGAAAAATCGTCGTCGAATCGCACGGACGCGACGGTAACCACATCTTCGACCGTCGAATTTCATTCGAGTCGGGGTTTGGACCATGCGCAGTTTGCGCGATCGGAATTCCCGATTGCTATTAAGAGTACAACATATCGTTGTTTTGTCGGTTAAAATACTGTTTTTCAACACGATATCCTTTAATGAGTGGGGGGGGGGGATCGAATCAATAATTCATCGAACGCATTGGACTACGCGTACGAGGTACATGTAACGCGGTGTGAGTCGTTCGAAATTCATATAAAATCACGGCATTTGCGTTTTATCAGAACGCATGAATAGCGCACGAAATCCGTTGTAATTTCGTAACGAAGTCGTATACCCTTCGGTTTTCGAGAACGAATCACTGATTTACGTGATAAATACGAAATACACGAAACGCGGTCTTTTTCAGCGTGTTGTGTCATAAACGGTCGATAATCATGCACCACGCGTGTGCAGGTTTAATGCACGAACGATTATATTTTTAAGGTCAACAGTCGACGAATACAACGTTGCTAATACCAAATAACGTTATGTTTATAGACGGAGCTATTTTAAATTTTCCATTATTTTTTGAAATATTGGTCTTACTACTTTCATTGTTACAACTCGCATAACAACGTCGTAGGACGCAAAATGAGGATAAATAATTTAATGGACTCTACGCGTGTTGCATTCCAAACGGTTTTCGTCAAACACGACTGGTGGCCGGTAAGAGAAAGTTGTATATTTTCGTCGCTTATCAGCTAATGTTAAGCGGATAGAAAATATTTGATCACGATCCCAACGGACCTGAAACAGAGTACTTGAAAAATCGAGGAAAACGCAGCTTTCGTATCACCGAGATTCCCGCTAAAAAATTTCACGATACCAGCCTGTATGGGTTTTTTCCCCAACAAAGATACGGAAAAATCTGAAAAATGCAAAAATATCCGTTTGGGAAAAATAACTTTCACGGAATCCCACGAGAACGATGAAAAAACAAAAATCAAT